TTAATTGCTATCATACCTAGGTCCACCCTGACCTGGGGTTGTAGCACCTGTTAGGGTCCTAGTTATGGACAAATAGTGAACCTCCAAACTAAAACAAAACACTATGAAAGTATAAGAATAGATTTTTATAGTAAAAATATCAGAAACAGATTTTCATATAAAAAAATTACTAACAATACCTATTTATAGTAAAATTACCAAATATACACACATAGTAACAAATATAATGACTTCATCTAAATCCATTTAAAATACTACCAAACAACTAATATTTTTATGATATTAATCCATATAATATCCTATAATTTCTTAAATCAAACTGTATTCCAAAATATAACTTCAACAAAACTACAACATAAACCACACACATATCACCACCTCTAGTAATTATGTCCACACAAACATGTATATGCGTAAAAGCCGAGTATCATCTACCATGTATTCAATTGTGAAAGCAGAATAAACATCGTATTTTATTACTTCAAAGCTCCAAAGATAATTAAATTTTAGCATTAAATGACCCATAAGATGTTAATATGCTGTTAAACAGACAAATCAATCAATTCTTGAAGTCAGAACACTACAATCATTTCTTTGTATCCATTTTGTGTGAAGGCACCATTCTTAGTTTGAGACCTTTTTGTCTAATTACTGTTGCTTTGCCTCGTTTTATTTTGCATATATTGTCTGCTCAGTATTATTTTTGCCCTGTTCTTTTCCTCCTCTTGTTATTGTAAATTTCAACAATTCTGTTTGTTGGGCATTTCTGCTAATTACATTTTACCAGGGCCAATTATTCTACAAATTTTGTTTTTAATATTGAATTATTTAAGAATTACAATCTGAAGACAAAAAGATTCAAAATTATCAGATGATGCCTTTGGTGCATCAAAAATAATTTTTTTTTTTTCGTTCTAACCTTTTATCTATGATGAAATTTGGAAGAAAGTCAAATAGAGTTACCTCCCTTCAATAAGATTATATTTTTCTGACTGCCATATTTTACATACGCTTGTTATAGTGGAACACACCTATTCTATAGTTAATAGACTCTCCCACCTATAATAAGTAGGAGTAGTAAGAGTAACGAGAGAGTGGGTCCATCAGTCGATGTTGGATGACAGTTAGTCGAATACTAAAGTATCAGTGACCACAACTACATTACTCTGTGTTATACCTATTATATCAAGTTCCTAACGTTTTGTACGTCGAACCTATTTTAGGACCGACTTAGTACAAATACAAGCATCCACTGTGAAATCACTCCACAACACACTCTTCATGAAAATAGGCCTTTCTTACACCTTTCATGACAAATATGACTGTGCAGTTTGACAAAATGTCTTATCAGCAAATCTCTCTTTTTATCTTTTTATCTAGGAGCTTTTTTTTTCTAGGCACTAACAAATCAACGTTCTAGCACAAGTGACTTTTCTAGTGTCCCACCCACCTCAATTTTATTGCCAAGTCACCTCTGATATTTTGTGATGTTCTTTGATCCATGTTCACCTTTCATACATTCCAAGAATTACATCATTTTGAAATTTGATTTCAAACAAATTACCTGTTTTACATAAGTGGCCAGTAAACATTTTCAATTTTAATCATTTTAGCAAGTTTATTTTTTCATTAGGCCTAATTTTTATTAAATGCTTTCCAGTTCATTATATATGTATATATATATATATATATATATATATATATATATATATAAAAGAAAGAACAGTAAGATATATAATCCAGTGTTCTTATTGATGTTTTTATTTTTACAAAATAGTGCTCAATGTAAATTTACAGAGCATTAATATCATAAATTAACCGATTTAAAATATGTTTTTTTTTTTGCTACACAGTAATAACCATGTTTCAAAAATGGAAGCTAAAACCTTCAAATTTAATTTTGTAATTAAATTAAAAACATTAGTTCCATTTCATCCTCAAGCGAATTTTGGAGTAACTTATTTTTTAAATTTACTGAGTTAAAGGAACAGAAAATTCATAATTCAACTGTTTCCAAGGATACAGAGAGATCCATTCATTCAGACAAGGGGCGGTAGCGTGTTCATTTTTATTAACTTTTGTTGTATCAGTTATTTGTTACATTCAAAAAAAGGGTTATGTTTAGGTAGGGATGTATTTTTCAATGAATTCTGACATCTGGTAAATGCATGTCGTCTGGGGTTTTTTTAAAAAATTTTATTGTTAACGGCAAAAAAATTCTTACGGCATTTTTTCTATTTGTACACTTACAGATTTTTTTTGAGGATATTTAGGTTAGAATATGTTTTATTTAACTACAATTTTAAAATATTTTTACTTAATTTTTAATGGACTATATTTCTTTTAAAACAAGTAAATGTACTAGAATTACTTACAGTATATAAAATTATTTTTCCCATATTAAGTATGTATATTAACAGGTCACATTTTTTTAATTTTTAAAAAATATTTTTTAAAAAATATTATTTAAGGAAAATTTTTGACAATGATGGCAAAAAATAGCTAATTCATTTCTCTGATCCAGTAAACTTTTATTTTTTATAAACTTAGTAATATATAGTTTCTCATGTATGCACAAAGGACATGGGTCATTTAATGGCCGACATATTCTAGCTTTTCTTATGAATTTCATTTGACTGTAGGTGTTTTATTAGCTTCTTTTAAGTGCTAGAAGTACTTTGAGAAAGATGTTTAGGTTAGAATACGTTTTAACTACAATTTTAAAATATTTTCACTCTTAATTTTAATAGACTATATTTCTTTTTAAAAGAAGTAAATGTAATAGAATTACTTACAGTATATAAAATTATTTTTTCATATCAAATATATGTATATTACCAGGTCGAACTTTTTAATTTTATTTTTAAATATTATTTAAGGAAAATTTTTGACAATGACTGCAAAAAAAATAGATTCAGTAAATTTTTATTTTTTAGAAACTAATGTTTTTAATTACAAAATTAAATTTGAAGCTTTTAGCTTCCATTTTTGAAACATGGTTATTACTGTCTAGCAAAAAAACATTTTAAATCAGTTAATTTATAATACATTATATATAGTCATTTTTGCTATAAATAGGCACCGTTTGTCATTTTTTTCGTGTATAAAAATGTATTGTTGCTATTTCTACTATAAAAATGCATTTTTGTCCTTTTCTAGAGTTTTGATTTTTTGTTTGGAGTACACTATTTGCCAATATCTGGGACCTGTAACAGGTGCTACCACCCCATGTCAGGGTTGACCTGGGAACAACAGCAATTAAGAGATGGTTCCATGCTCCTCAAAACTTCTTATATTGCAATCAAAAGCCTTGCTACCAGATATAAAAGGCATGAATCCATCTTCCTCTAGCTATGGGTTAAATAACAGGGAAACTGGCAACTAGTCTAGAAAGAAACCTGAATTTAAAACCAACCTGAAGAGGGTTTGGTTTGTTTGTTTTACCAGCATATCAACCCTCATAAGTCATTTAATACTGAAGAAGAATGGTCCCTGTCAGGTTAGCTTGACCTAGACAAAAAACTGCTACAGTATATTCATTGCTTCTCTAGCTACTGGCTAAATAGCAGGACTAATAACCTGTCTAAGAGAAGGAAACCTGAATTCAAAACCAGTTTTAAGAGGAATGCACTTACCTAAGACACACTACTGCAGTACATTTGGTGCCCTTACAACTCTCAGTGCTTTCAATGATGTACTTCTCTGAAGTTACGTTTGAGAGTTATCAAGGTTACCAATAATTTTATTATTTTTATAAAGTGAGAGAATTATTATTATTTCTAGAATTAAGATTTGCAATAATTTTCTTTTCCCTATACTAATCTATTGTAGAATTCATCTATCTTTAAAAATGTCTGTTACTATGCCATCTTTGCCCGTTCCTTTTTTTTGGCATCTCACATTTTCAAACAAACATTTCATTAGTTAATAATTTTATATTAACAACATTACAAATACTAATACAGTTAGAACTAATGCAATATTTATATCATTTACCAATTTATAAAGAAATAAATATGAAAACAATTTTTTTAAACATAAATTTAAAACATTTACTATATTAGAAAAATATGAAAACCAACTATGAGGAACGCCTTATTATTTACCATTTTATAAAGTTTGAGTCTATTGGCAACTAGCTGATATCTTGCCAACAATTCCAATAGTATAATAAATAGTGTACATAAAATATCTAAATAGTGTTTATTATTTTTGTTATCAATTCTCAATAACAAAAGAAAATGTTTAAATTCACTTTCATATGTTTTGCTTTTATTACAATTTTAATCATTGATTTTTAAAACAAACATTGCTAAGGAGTGAAGGTAGTTAAAATAAAAAGTGGTTCCATGAGCAAAACTGTCCTTTTGACACGTCTTATTGCGAGCATGTTTACCAAAGTTTACTAATCTATTCTTGTAAATATTTTTTCTTGCCAATTCATGAGAGAAAAAAAGAATGTATAAGTCCAATTTCATATACTTGGGTATTATTAAAGTTCTAAAAATAGCTTTTTAAAATAATAAAATTTGCCCAGAAAGTATGAAGTGGTGGTGTCAAGTGAAAATCGCACCGCAGCTCATGACGTCACATGACCATACTGTGGTGTGATTTTCGCTTCCAGCGTCTTATATGCACAAGTTTGTCATTGCTTAGAAATCTTTCATGTAAACAGAAATAGACTATCATCATTGTTTTGTCTGTGTATTGCTTAATATATTGTAATGTAATTGTCAACTTTGATAATGGCTTATGTAAGCCGAAAGCTTAGATTGGATTCAAAAATATGTATCAATATTGTGATTTTCTTTTTTCTTTTAATGATAATGTTATTAAGTTTATCAGACGATATGAAAAGAATTTACATAAAATAAATAGACAACACTTGTCTATAATATTTAATGAAACATGCATCAATGAAAAAATGCTGCTGAAATACACACAATATATATATATATATATATATATATATATATATCCAACTGCAGGTCTATACTTACAGGTAACTTCTTCGCACATCCACCTGGAATGGGTCTGCTGGTGCCGTAGGGAGGGTGCCGTAGCTGTAAGGAGGGGGCCGCGGAAGGAATGGGTCCGTATCATCCACTGGGTAGTACACCAGCCTGAAACAAAAAGGTAGACATTTTAGTTATACATACTTAGCTGCCCCTTTTTTAATATAAAAATTTCTGATCAAAACTCAGCATAAATTGAAAGTTTGGCAATCTTTAACCATTATGCCTACAAAAAACAAAACAAAAAAAAAAATCAATGTCAAAATGGAGTTTTTCCCTTGATACCGCTGTTATTTTAACTACCTTAACTCCTTGTCAAGGTTTATCTTTTTAAAAGTGAATTTATAACTCTTGTTACGAGGCCCCATTTTGTCCTACTTCTTTACACTTACACTATAAAATACAAAATCTAACTTAAAATGATGACTTAAATCTGTAGCTACTAGATGCCTTTTTTATTTTACGAAAAGCTCCCATTTACCAAACACATTAGATTTCATAATAATAGAATGGAATTTTATAAAAGTCTCTAGAAACTTCTACTGGGTTCTAAAGGGTACAAAAAAAAAACATATATAAACAGGAGTTCATACCAACTAGTCACTTGCCTCCTGAACCCACAGCCACAACTATTGAGGTCAACTCCGGTCCTTTTGATTCAAGAACAAAGCTCGACCGAAAGAATCTAAATTCCTACAGTCCTTGAAAAGACTATCGGCAAATACTTCACCCTTTTCCCTTGACATTATTGACCAAACTCTTATTTATATATATATATATATATATGTGTGTGTGTGAATTAATCAAACTATTTTTAAGAAGAAAATAATAATTCTTGGACTAGTGATGAATTCCCATCCATTGCCTTAATCTTAACTACAGTGGATTTCCTCTCCCACTCCCTTGTATAGTTACACATTAAGCTGACTACTTTCTGGGTTCTTGCACACTCAGTAACTTGTTAGCATTTCGTAACTTATATTGTTTCAAATCTCATCCCTATTGTTCTAAAATATATTGTATTATATGTAAAATAAGCTCTGCATTTCATTACTAGATGTAGTCTTTTTTCTTCAACGTTAATTTCTACGAATCTGGTTCTTCTTGTGTTGTGCCAACCGTAACACTATTCTCTGCTGTTGAGAATTCACAACAAAAATAATAAAGTGTATTTATTAGAGTTTCTATTGGAATTGCTGACAAAACATTGGTTAATTACCAATTTATTTAAACTTCATAATGTGGTGAATTGGGACCAAGAAAGTAATTTACCCGAGGCTAAGAGACGCCCATGCCTTACCTACCTGTTTGGTGACGTCATTTGAAATTTAGTCAAAGCGTTTGTGTAATTCTTGATCTTTTAAAACTATCACTAATTTGCATGTAAGCAAAAATCTCAATAAAAAGTTAACCACACAGAGAGAAGGACTCCATGACTGACTTCTTCAGACCAGGCTCTTTGCGATTATCTATCACGTATAAAATGGTAAATAAGAAGGAATCCTTATAGTTGCTTGAGATATTTTAATAATTTAGTCAATGTTTATAAATTTATGAATAAAAAATTGTTTTAATATTCATTTCTTCATGAATTGGCCCAGAAATATAAGTAAAAAAGAAAATGCATATTTTTACAGTTCAATATCTGCGGCTTTTACTCACCCACCACAGAAGAATTAGCAAAGAACTACTGCCCGATATCTGACCATGAAGTTAATATCATAAGAAAGGCAAAGAAACCAATTTTATGCCACGACGAAACTCTATGGACTCAGAAAGATAACCAAGATTTTGCGTTTCCTTGGAAGCACATGATTCCTCAGAAGAATGAAGTTGTAGGGATATTGTTACTATGGAGACTCAGATTTATCTTTGAGATTTATTTATTATATATATATATATATATATATATATATATATATATATATATATATATATAAGAAAGAGGACGTAGTGGTTCCAACAAGAGAAAAGCATGTATATTAAAAAGAAGAGAAGAGAGGTGCATAAACGTTTTTGGTTGTAATGTGGATTTATTTAGAAAAATATTATGCTTTGTTTTACATAATTTTGCTACACAAGTTTCTGGTCTCGTGACTGTCTTCAGGTAAAAGCGGAGATTTCCACATATTATTAAAAATAATTAATTTTTTCTTTTGTTTTTCAATGTTAAATATTCTCGATAAGAGACATTTTCTGTGTTAGTAATCCGAATTTATTCTTGAATTGGCAATGAAGAGTTCTGCACGAAAGGTCATATAACAATTAAGAATCCTATAGGGAACTATCATATAGCCTGACATGCTTTTACCAATTTCGCCACAGAGGAGTGTTTAGGTTAGCAAGGTTGATTTTACTGTTTTTAAACTACAATTCGCCATGATTTTCTCACGTACATTCATATCTGCTCGGTAAAAGTATGTCAGGCTATATGACAGTTCCATATAGGATACGGGTTCGATTCCTGTTGGAGGACACATATTTCTTTGACAATTTCTCAGATTTTCAGGCTGGTAAATGTTGTTAACATTGTTTATTATAAACAGATCATGTACTTAAATATTTGTATCTATAAAAAAGAATGTATAAACATAAAAATGTTTTCAATGATATACACATTATATATATATATATTCTAAATAAATAGTTTATATATATATATATATATATATATATATATATATATATATATATAAATAATATATATATATATATATATATTAGTTGGATTGATGTGAGTTTGTGACCCTGGGTTTCACGCTATTTTACGATCGTCAGACAAACGGATTAATTTTTAAATTTTGGATTTATATATGGTTGTGTATATTGATGTTTTTATGGTAGTGGGAGGAGAAATTGTTGTCGGAACGCCACTCATACATACACAGACATACATACACACAAGTTCACACTTTGCAGCTCATACAAACATATATATGAACAGTGTGGGACTGAGCGTATATGTACATCCATGTGTCATTGCATTCATGTGTATACAATTGTTCACTGTATTCAATGTTGGATTGTGTAGCAAACTTCTTTTGTAAGTCGCAGTGTCAAATTACAGACCGTTTGTCTATTTTGTTCGTGGAGTAATGTTTTATCACAAACATATATACGTATGCGCGTTCACACATCTATCAATCTGGCGTTTTTTGTTTTTTTTTTTAAAGATGGGGTCAGTGTAAGACTATGGTAGGTAAAATTGTTATTTTTAATTTTTTTTAATGCTGTTTTGTTATTTTAAAACCGGTTATTTGCTTGTTTTTGGCAATTGCGCTTATGTAAATGGTAGAAACTCCAATTTATAATACTTATTGGTATTTATGCGGTGGTATTAATTTTGCTGGGGGCGGGGATGGATGGATGTTGGATTTAACGGCATGTCAACTCCTATTTGGGTCATTTTATGCTGAAGCCTTATTAATTTACCTTGGGGCGGGGAGAAAGTATAATTGTGGACTGATGTGGTAACGGTAATTGTGGTGTGGTAGTAATTGTGGACTAATGCAGCAATGGTAATTGTGATGAGGTAGTAATGGCTCAGGGAGCAACTGATGATAACAATTGTAGTAACAAATAGTTATGGTAAAATGGTAGAAGTGATTGTAGTAATGGTGGTGGAATGGTAATAACAATAATTATAATGATGGTAGTTTGAACAAGAAAAATAATTGGTGTTATGGTGTCAGTGGTTTCCCTTTTCATGTTCATAGGGTCAATGGTGGTTTATGTAGTAGTGTTGTTTTTTTTATTTTATTTTTTTATCCGTTTGGTATAAATTGCAATAATAGGTATTTGTTTTCGTGTCTGCATTTAGAAATTATATATATATATATATATCTGTGTGTGTGTGTGTGTGTGTGTGTGTGTGTAAATGATTTGCCAATAATAATCTTATAAGTAGTCCCATGCAAATAACTTACCAGTGCCACCTACTTAGATCTATCTTTTCCAAACTACCATTTTGCTAAGGGGAATTAACTCAACATTAACTGGGGCAAGAAATAGCTTGTAAATTTTAAACTGTCATTTTATATCTTTAAATGTTTTCCCCATCATAAATATCACCTTGGCCAACAGCGCCCTTGCCATTGAGCATTTGGTGGTATTGAGTGGGGTTCGGGAAAGTGTTTCTTAGTTGGGGTGCTGGATCAGCAAGCAGAGACACTGAAAGATATGATTTTATGATATATTCAACATAGAAGCCATATTGTTTCAGATGGCTTGGTGGCTTAGGCTGGAAGTGATGAAATCAACCACAGGATATACTCTCATGATGACATTCATCAGCAGAATTTTGTGGATCCTGATGACGACACCATCCATCAAGCATAGACTGCGTTGACAGTATGGAACTTTAGAGGCATTCTTTGCATTGCAACTTTACAAATTCGTGTGGTGTCAGTGGTACAAGAACAGTTTCATGTTTACAGTATTTATTTGCTGCATAGTCCACCATCACCTGTTTTTATAATGTTTAATTGTAATATACAGTAATATACCTGGGTCTTATTGATTTTACGTCATTCAGGGAATAGCAGTTTATTTTATGCCATTTTAGTGAAGAATTACTGAACCAATTACTAGGTTGTCTGCTCGCAAAGTTAACTCACAGTTGTGCCAGACAATTTTTCTTGTTAAAATCCATCTTGCACATTTATAAATCTAACATTCATCCATGCAGTGAATATTGCTACCATATCTGGTCTGGTGCTTCTGCTTATAGTTAAAGATTCTTGAACAAATTCAAAGAAGGTTCTGTAATCAATCTTGAACTAGTTGGAACCAAGCATACTAAAGACTTAGATTTTGGTAAGATTCTACAACAGCACCCTCAAGGATATCCTGTCTAAGTAAGTTATGTTATATCACCATTCTGAAATAATTACTACATTCCCAAGCCAACCTACACAATTATAAAAATGTTAAAAAAAACAAAAAAAAAATGAAAGAGTGGGAATGAGGACAACTGTTATTGGGGGACTGTATCAATTGGTCAAGAAACACCTTCAAGGGAGAAACTGATTGTTCCCACTGTACTAGATCCAACCCAAGTCAAGATCTTGTCTCTCACCTGGCCAATTCATTTCTGCAGACACACATTTAAGAATAAATTCTTTTAAAAGAAGGAAACAATTTCCTGACTGCCAAAAATAAATAATTATCTTTATTGCAATTCTATAATCTAAAATACAATTTATCAGTTATGGAAGTGACTTGACTTTCTGATGAAATATTCTCATCTGATGGAATCAGGAGGCATGACTCAACACTAATTTGCTTTTCCAGGATAAGGAGTTATTTACAGTCAGACTAATATCTTCATATTATTTGTTGTTATCACAAAGTTTTGAGTTTCTGGGATGAGAAATTATTTTTTGCTATTACAATGTTTCAGCCATTGTGCCCTTCAGTCTTCTTCAGATGTCAATCTGGGTAACCTTCAAGAAATATTGAACTGACCCTTTATTTAATCTGAAAAGGTAGACTCTTTTTTATTCTCCTATCCATGTTTTGTGATGTCTCGTCTCTGTCTTAGTGCAAGTTCTGTTTCTAATGCAGCCTGTGGTCTACGATTCCTCCATAGAAACCAAAATGGTTCCATCCTGAGTTATAAACAGCTGTCTCCAAACAAACTTCCACATTACTACAGCATAAATTCTATTCAAATAGAATCTTGAAAGCAATGTTTTACATAAATGCTCATAAAATATGTCCACATTTGTGGACACACCTATTATATATACTTACCTCTTTGCAAAAAGAATTGAAGCTCTTGTAGCAAGGCAGATGTTAATAGTCAATGCCAGGCCAATGATACTACACATCAGCGCAATGAAGGCCACCCCAATACTGAAAAATACCAAATGAAGGATTTTCATGAGTAACACAGTTATAAAATTAATTACAAAACGTTCAATACAAAACATTCAGTCAGTAAAAAAAGTAGGAGGAGATATTCATCTGGTAAAAAAAGGAGGAAAAGATATTCATTTGGTAAAAAAAAAAAAAAAAAAAAAAAAGAGGAAAAAAAAAAAAAAAAAAAAGGAGGAGATATTCAGTTGGTAATAAAAGATATTCCTCTGGTAATAAAAAGGAGGAGATATTTCTGGTAATAAAAGGAGGAGATATTCCTCTGGTAATAAAAAGGAGGAGATATTCCTCTGGTAATAAAAAAGGAGATATTCCTCTGGTAATAAAAGGAGGAGATATTCCTCTGGTAATAAAAGGAGGAGATATTCCTCTGGTAATAAAAGGAGGAGATATTCCTCTGGTAATAAAAGGAGGAGATATTCCTCTGGTAATAAAAAAAAGGAGGAGATATTCTCTGGTAAAAAAAAGAAGGAGATATTCTCTGGTAATAAAAAAGGAGGAGGATTCTCTGGTAAATAAAAAAAAAGAAGGAGGAGGAGATATTCCTCTGGTAATAAAAGAAGGAGGAGGAGATATTCCTCTGGTAATAAAAGAAGGAGGAGGAGATATTCCTCTGGTAATAAAAGAAGGAGGAGGAGATATTCCTCTAGTAATAAAAGAAGGAGGAGGAGATATTCCTCTAGTAATAAAAGAAGGAGGAGGAGATATTCCTCTAGTAATAAAAGAAGGAGGAGGAGATATTCCTCTGGTAATAAAAGGAGGAGGAAAAATTCAGTCAGTAAAAAAAAGAGGAGTAAAAAATGCAGTCAGTAAAAAAAAAAAAAAAAAAAAAAAGTAAAAATTCAGTTGGTAAAAAAGGACAAAAAAGAAATTACACAGTAAAAATGATTAATAACTGCATTTAAAGTTTAGACATTTTTAAACTATAACCCTTTTCAATGCACACCTGTAGTTATACGTCATTTATTAAAAACATGAAATCACTGTCAATGTCTTGGCATCACTACATGTCAACCACTTTGCAGGTTGTACAGTTGAAATGGGGGAGATGTACCTCAGTTCTATCCTCACATTTTGTTCTCACACTTTATTCTTGGCAAATAAAAAAGGGGGAAAACCCCAGTGAGCAATAAGATACGTGTGTGGTTGTACTATTGTAAACAAAGCGATGGCGTGCCAACTAGGGGTCAGATCTGAAAGCTGCTTGTCATATCAAGTGTTGCCACAACTCTGTCCATAGCATGCAGAAATTACAAACTGTTTCAGCTGCCCCAGATATACATAACATTGAGGCGTGTGTGTGTGTGTGTGTATATATATATATATATATATATATATATATATAGAGTGTGTGAGAAAACTGGTTTTATTTTCACATTGTCTGTTTCTTAAGGCAGAGACAAATTTCTGAGTTGTCACTTCTTTTTCTTTTAATTTGAAAAAGAATAATTCCTACTCACACATTCTCTATGACCTTCACCTAACTGCAAAGCATTTATATCAATTAATGACCATTTCAGTGCAAGAAAGATTGATGGTAGTAAGGAGTGGTGTTTTAGAAGACCTAGATCAGGATTTTGTTTATAGCAAGTGTACCAACACAGTGGTGGGATAAAAAGCAACAATAAGTTATAATATATGTCATTATATATAAGTTTTATTTAATTCTGGTATAGTCTATATCAGAAGCTTATTCCACATATGAAGTAATTTTGAATTTTATTGTGTATTAATTATATCTATTTATCTCTCTATCTCTAATATATACATATATATATATATATATATATATATATATATATATATATGAATGAATGTGTGAAATATTTATTTAATATCAAATTAATAGAAAACGTGTTTTCCAACAGGAATCAAACCCGTGTCCTATACAGAAACCTATATGATGGTTTCCATATGGAATACAGGTTTGATTCCTATTGGATAATGCATATTTCCTCCAATATATATATATATATATATATATATGCGCACACACACATGAATTTAGGCAGCAATCCCACTTTCATACATGTTTAATTAAAGTCAACAGACAAGGTACTGTGATTAAGTTTTTTATTTTTTTTCTTGCATTCAAACAAGTGTTTTCTTTTCTGGACACAGTGTGCATAGAAACTGTCCAAATGTTCTGTAATTCTGAGCGCTTTTGGCTATACTTTTAGAAATTATCTAGGATGGCTTTATTTTTACTTTTTTTTAACTGGATGTATATGCTGTGTGTATGTATCTAGAGTTATAGGAATGTTTATTTTCTGAACAAAGTTAAGCACATTGAGGCTCTATTCATAATTAGTATTACTGAGTGTTGGCTTTTTTCATTTTTATTATTAAGGCATCTATTATTTTCAATTTTTTTTTTTTTTTTACATGTGGGTGAGGTTGTCGCAGTGTGCCCAAACACCACTCCCACCATTTCTTAAACAACCCCGGCTATGCCTGCCGATAGAGAAAGGTCACGGCCCTTGTGTGCTAAAAATAGCAACGACATCCTTCCAAACTGTCAGAAACACACAAAACTCAATTTTCGCCACTAAACAAAAAAAAAAAGACCTTTAATTTCGAACCGAAATTAATTTAAATACAGTCAACAAACACCGAACACACTTTTGACTGTAATTAATATGGCCCGGAATTAATTATATTCATTTACTTGTTTAGCGTCACCGCTTTCTCTTGTAGGAACCGTCATACCTATATCCCCGAGACTTCACAGCGGTTTTAGCCGGCCGGGGGCAGGAAGCCTCCCTGATTTCGCGACTTTTGTGGCGCCCAGTCAAGTCGATCAAGCCCAGCAGTTGACGGGACCCAGCAGCAGTAGCAGCAGTTGTTCAAACAGTTTTTTTTTTAGAGCCAACTTCCCAAAGTCATTCGATCACCACTCTTCGAGACTCCACTCACTTCACTCTTCGCTACTGCCTTCCCTCTGTGACGCCAGCTCTCTCCTGCAGCTTCCAGCTCGCTCCTGCAGCCTTCAGCTCACTCTTCCAGCACTCCTACCGCTTCCAGCTCACTCCTGCAGTTTACAGCTCACCCCTGCGGCGCTTTACTGACGTCCCGCGACCTATTCCAGCACCCGCTGACGACCTTATCCAGTGCCCACTGACGTCTAGCGCCCGTTATCGTCTGGACACCGTTCAAACGACCTCTGTCTTCTTATCATCCACCATTCGCAAATAAAGACACGATTACCATCGTCTACAACGGACCATCTGCGTTTGTCATCCTTCTTTGCTATTGCCATCTCCTTGCCTTTGTGTCCCCTTTTTAGTTGTACGGTCGATTGGCACTCACACCTCTCGGCCCGCTGCAACAAGGTTATCATGCTTGTATTTTTTATTAGTATGTTTCAGATGAAGTGATAAGTATGTGTGTGTGTTTAAATGGGTTCTAATGGAGCTGTGGTCAGACAGGTGTAACTTGTCTTGATAGACATGTAGTAGTGTGACCAATGTAATTATTTATGAGTTTGGTTTGATCAGGAACACAGTTCCTTAAGGGGCATTTGAACTCATAGACAATGTTTGTTCATTGTAATTTTGCAGGTGTGTTGTTATTTTTTAGAATAAGGTTAGGTGTTTTAAATTTTTTCTAATAGATAATTTCATTTTTGGAGGGTTAACTGGAGTAGTGTATTTCATTATGATATTTCTAAAAGAAGATTCATCTTGCTTATAATTGATGTATATTTGGCTTTTATAGAAGACTAGCAGTAGATCCCGGCATTGCCTGGGGATATAAAAGTAAGAGATAGATCAAGTATCCACCATCATAAAGACTGAAAAATAAAATTGACAAAGATTATTGTTTAAGGTTGATGGACACGCATGTCTTAATTAGTTATTTTAATTTTTTTTTTACGAATTGGTCAAACTCAAACAAAAACATTGTTTTCAATCATTATGAGTCTCCCGATTGAACAGAATTTTATTATAATTGTTTGTAAATGGAATTTTTAAAGCATTCTGAATGTTAAAAATAAAGAAAAAAGTGTGCAAGAGAATACGAAACACTACCTGCCAAAAAAAAAAAAAAAAAATTTTTGGTGCTGTTAGAACCACCACAAGGTAATTTTATGTAGTCCTGTGAAGTTTTGTTGAAATCGGTTGAAAAATGTAGGAAATCTGATCCAATATATAAACGTTACACACACAATCTGCATTTTATAATAAGTAAGATGTTAATGATATTGTTTTTTGTCTGTGTATTCAGTATCCTTATTTACATTGGAAAAAAATAGTCTAATTTGGTGGTCGATGAGGTAGTTAGGAAAACCATTGTTAACTAGTGTGTTTTGCAATGAGTTCTTTAAGGAAAAGTAGATAAGAGGATGAGTTCTCATGTACTCTCTTTGAGAAGTATTTTTATCACTCATTTTGTATCTAAGTGGGTATTCACTCTTAAAATTAAAGTGGCAAGAGTTTCTGCTTGTGGGGTTTTATACAATGAGGTGTTGAAACTGTTGTTAGTGTATTCTACGAAAGCATCTAAGAATGGGAGTTTATTTTTTTTGACTGAGTTCATAGGTAAAGTTAAGGACAATTTTTTTCAAATGTGGCTTTCAGAGTATCTATTTCTTTTGCATTTGTCACAAAAGTAACCGATATTTTTATTTAGCAAAAACACAAAATAAATAAATATAAAAGCAACAATAAAAAAAAAAAGCTAGTGATCAGATAATAGTGAAAGACATGACAGTGTTGATCTCTTTGAAAAATGCTAGTGGTATTTAAAACAGTGTCCTGGCAGTCTTCAACTATTTAAGCATTGGTAGGGAGTTAACATTTCAAAGACAGATTCACAATGGTAAAATAAAGTTCTTCATAGTTTTTTTTCTAATGTATAAAGTGTAATGTTTGTGTGCCTAATTGAAACCCAGAAAATTTTTTAAATTGTTTGTGTTAGCTAATTATGTTATTAAAGGTTATTAAATGATGATTGCAGAGACTCTGAAAAAAAAAAAA